AGTTGGAGTTTATCAAGTTTTATAAGGGGTTCCTTGTTGCAGGGTTCAAGTAAAAAGGAACCATAGTCGAATAGGCTACGAATTAAAGCGTTATACAGAAGCTTCTGCGAGTATGGGTGGGAACCCCACCATACCCCAGACAGGGATTTAAGAATATTTATAGCGTTTTCAGTTTTTTGTGCAACAAAATTAAAATGGGCTGAGCCTGATAATCTGGAGTCAAGGATAACTCCTAAGAATTTTACTTGATCTGAGGACGGAATTATTTGATCGCCAATTTTAATTTGGAGAGGGGGAATTACTCTTTTTCGAGTAAAAATAACAGACTTGCTTTTAAGAGGGGAGAGGGTAAGCCCATGTTCATCTAGCCAATAATTAAGGTAAAATAAAGCAGAGTTTAACCTGTCAGAAATTTTATCAATAGATTTACCACTAACGTAAATACATATGTCATCCGCATACTGGAGGATGTTGACAAAACTAGTAACGCATGTTTCGAGATCACAGGTGTATAAGCTGTAAAGTAAGGGGCTAAGTACTGAGCCTTGAGGAAGACCTTGCCAGACAGTTCTAGGAGCGAGTTGATGATAGTGGAAATGAACCTTAACTGATCTACCAATTAGCAGGTTATAAATGAATTGAACTAACCTCACAGGAAAACTCAATCGAAGAAGCTTCTCTCTGAGCACCGGAAGCAGTACATTGTCATAGGCAGCTGAAATGTCCAAAAAAACGCCCACTAGGTGTTCATCATTCGTAAAGGCTAATCTTATATCAGATGTCAGTATGGCGAGACTGTCTAGTGTACCTTTGCCCTTACGGAATCCAAATTGGCTCCTTGCTATTAGCCCCTTACTTTCGGCTAACCATTCTAATCTGTTTTTTATCATATGCTCTAAAATTTTGCAAAGGGTGGAAGAGAGAGCTATGGGTCTGTAGGATGATGCATCTCTAGGGTTTTTACCTGGTTTTAAGATTGGTATGATAATTTGTGATTTCCATGCAAGAGGGATTACTCCAGTGTCAATTACTCTATTATAAAGATTTAGTAAGAATGATAATCCAGATGAGCCGAGGTGTGTAACAAACGAATAGGGGATACCATCTTCTCCCGGAGAAGAATCCTTTAGTTTTTTTAAGGTTATATTTAGCTCAGTTAGGGAGAATGCAAGGCCAAACCTGTCCTGAACCTGGTTTAATGGGTGTGAAGGAGGTGAATTATCAATTTTGAAGGGAACTGAAGGAGGGGCCAATTTACAAGCAAAAGATTCTATCCAAGTAGAAGGGTCATTTGATGATGGAGATGGACCAACAAAAGAACCGCGAAAGCGTTTAATACTACGCCAAACCTTCGAAGGAGCTGTAGACGGAGAAAGTTTCTCACAAAAACTGTGCCATCCAAGTCTCTTTTTCTTTTTAAAAAGGCGTTTAGCCTTAGCTGATGTCTGTTTATATTTAATAAAATTTTCTGTAGACATGTTCAAATTATAGTTTGTTTCTGCTTGTTTTCTTTCTTTTATTATCTCCGAACATTCAGCATCCCACCATGGGGGGGACGATAAGTTACGTTTGGATGGACGGATGGGTGGAATGTTTGCGGTAGCTGCTATTAATAGAGCATCCGTAAAGGATGAATACATTTCTTCTACGTTTGGTTGCTGAGTAATGTTTTGAAGATTTAGATATTTATCCACATCTTCAGAGAACTTGGTCCAATCTGCCTTGCGCGTATTAAATTTGCGAAATGAAGGGAGAGAAGGAACCGGAATGCAGGTGTCGGGCTTGGAGATTATGATAGGGAAATGATCACTACCATAGGTTTCCAGTAATGTCTTCCATGTCAGAAGGGGAGCTAAGTTTGGAGAACACGCAGATAGATCAACGACTGATCTTGGGTCTTGACTGGGGTTAGCTCTTCTAGTTGGGTTACCATCATTTAAAATACATACATCGAGTTCATGGAATAATTCTATTAAATGGGTTGAGATTGAGTCACAGAAATAAGACCCCCAAGATGTATGATGGGTGTTGAAGTCACCGAGAATCACCAGAGGCTTAGGGAAGTTGTTGACAATTGATTCTAACTCAGAAATGATGGAGGTAGAAGGATGAGGTAGATAGATGGAAGCAAAAGTAATATTAAGTACTGTTGCGGCTACAATATTAAATAAGTCACTATGAGCAGGTATAGAAAGTCTGGAATAAGTGAGGCTCTCATTGATAAAGAGAGCACAACCATCATAACCATTGTCATTGTCATCCCTGAGACAGGCGTAGCCACACACCCGTAAATGAGTATTTGGCCTTAACCAAGTCTCAGAGATGGCAGCAACAGCCACATGGTATTTACTGAGTAAGTATTTGAGCTCATGTAACTTTGGTTTTATACTTCTACAGTTCCATTGTAGAAACTGACAGGTGTTATTCATTGATGTTGATGGAGCCATTTTTAGGCAGAAAAGTGGTTAAGATGCTAAGTTTTTGAGCAACGTTGGGCGGTAAGGCGTCATTAAATCTAAAGAGAATATCTGTGAGTAATGAAATAATATGTTCCAGAAATCTGTCATCACTAGATGAAGAGTAAGGGTTTTCTAAATTATTACCATCCGGTATTGAGGAAGGGGTTTCAGCTATAATAGCTTGATGGGCAGTGCGATCATAACTTTTGGTGGGAGAGGTCCTTTTCCTGGGAGGGAGTGTAACAGTCTTGCGGTATGAGGTAGATGTATAGGGTGTTTGAGGGTAGGACTGGGTTTCTAGTATCTGGGTTTGGTATGATGTGGTTGCCCTAGGGGATTTAGATACATCAGAGTAAGGACGGCGTACAGGTGCAAAGCGGGCAGAAGCTTCCAAATACGAGACATTTTCTTGAGACATTATAATTTTGATGTTGTGTTGTCTAGCAAACTCTGGACATCCTCTGTCTGTAGCAAAGTGACTTCCAGAGCAGTGTAAACAGGTGGATTGACTTTCTGAAATGGGACAGTTTTCTCCAGGATGTTCCTGAGCACATCGGTAACACCTAGGTTTGGATCGGCATTGAGTTTTTATATGGCCAAATCTACAACAATTGTGACATTGAATTGTTGGGAGTTGATATGTTTCAATAGGGAGAGAAGTTGAATAGGAATAAATTCTTTTAGGTAGCAACTGTCCTTCAAATGTGAGTACCACTGTTTGTGTAGGAGTCCATGTAATTTTGTCATTTATATTGGTCTTTCTGTTCAATCTTCTGGCTTTTAGAATTTTACCACATGTTTCCGGAAGTTCAACTGATTCAATGAACTCATCAAGAGACCAGTCGACAGGGATATTTCTAACGATACCCATTCGGGTAATATTATATGTTGGGATAGATGCTTTGAATTTATACCGGCTAATGAAGTCAGAAGACACAAATTTATTAGCGTCAAAACCAGTTTTGAATTCTATCTCAATTCTGTTTCTTCCTATGTTTTTGATACCCCCTTTTACAATATTAATAATGTTGTGTTTATGGACTAGTTGGCCAAATTTGATAGGGCGAATGGTAGTGCCTGCAGCAGGGTCAGGTTCGGACCTACTGATATGAACAATAAAGGGACCACAATCATTTTGACCGTACTTACGGTCTTCTAAAAGGCTGGGATGTATGTAAACAGTTTGCAACGAGACTGAAGTATCTATATCGTTAGTGTTTCTAATACGCTTGTCTATACTATTAGCAGATTCTGTCGGTAATTTATGTTTCCGAGAGTCTATTTTATCTTTCAGAGAGTGAGACTGAGAAAATACTGGGGGAGACATAAATTCAATATCCGGTGGATCAGGGGGATCAGGAGGGTCCGAATCCATTGTGACCTTTAACTTATCAACTGCCTAGATAATTTTTTAATGAAATAAATAATACGTACTATATATAAGATCTAATGTTATCTACTTACACAAAACACTTACCCACGTATTGTTAGTGAGAAAGGCTCAAAATAGAAAGAAAACACTATCAAAAATTGATTAAACCACGAAAACAATTCAAAAGCACGTGTGTCAATCACTTCACTCTTTGTCTACAACTTGACAGTGACACTCAAGTGTTTTTTTAATTCCGTAAAAGGAACCTAGTTTATACAGCCAAATCTATCCAGAAACTATATTCCTTTTTTTATACTGTTGTTTCCATAAATGGCAACTGTCAAAATGGCACTAATGTAACTTGTTCCCAAGATACGTTCGTTAAATGGCGTAAATTTTAAATTTTCAAAAAATGACTCGTTGTTGTGTTCCGAAATGCTCCGAAATTGCAGTCCATAAATTTCCCAAGGACCCGAAAATGAGAAAATTATGGCTTAAAGCTATTCGTCGTAAAGAAATTGTAATCAAAGAGACTTCGAGGTTATGTCGAAATCATTTTACAGAGAATGATTACGAAGGAGTAAGCAAATATACAGGTAGGTAATCAAAGTTATTTTCGTTCTATATTGTTATATTTACGATGCTCAATTTTTAATACCTTTATACGCAGGCTTAGCACACCAACATAAATACCTCAAAAAAACCGCTGTTCCTTCTGTTTTCTCGTGGACCGAAAATCCTTTAACGTTACAGTCTGAAGCCATACAAAAACGATATGAAACGAGAGAAATTCGTAAGTTCCTTTTTTATGCTTTCCCATATTTTCATTCTGCCTTAAAATCCTCACAAGAAGCACTGCCTCTTTTTATTCGGTTTATAATTCATTTCTAATACTTACTTCCAAATAATAAATATTTCCTAGAAATAATTAAATCCAGGTATGACATGTGCAATGCAATACTTTAAGGAACAAGCTACTAACACGCCATCTGCTTGGATTTACAACGTGATAAAGCTTTAATTATTCATAATTGCATATTTATTAATGACATTTAAAAAAAGACTTTTGCTCTTTTTACATCAGTTATTTTCAATCACTAGGTCACCATAGAAAGCAGAAATGGAATGTACTGCTATGTACCAATTAACAAACAAATTAAACAACTTTTCCGGCTTATAAATCTTTATTCAATTTAGTTTTTAATACTGTAAGATAATGTCATAAGCTTTATTCATTGCACTACTGAAATCGGCAAAAACATATGTATTTTCCCATTAATTCAGAGATTAGAAATTCTATCCATTAAAAATTACTTTATTATAAATTTTACACTAGTTTATTATTTATTGATAATAAACTTTACAAAACATAAGATAACACAAACTCATAATAAATTAGTCATTAGCACTTTTGTTTCCCCAAAGCTTAATCTCATCATCACAAGCCGTTAATAAATAACTTTCAGTTGGATGATGGCTCAATGAAATTACAGGTTTATTTTTAGTATGCACAAATTTATTAGTGGACTTACTACTTATGAGGTCCCAAACCAATACCTCACCTGTTGCCGAACCGGACATTATATGACTATCCGTTTCATTAACAACATTTTCTAGCATATAGTCTTTACACTCATGTCCTATGAAAGTATTCAACATTTCACCAGAGTCTTTATCAAATAATTTAACTGTACCATCGTTACAACTCAAAACATAACACTGTCCATCATGTGTAAAGTTACCAAAAGTTACGATATGACCTATATAGTCCGATGTCATTTTGCCAACCCGTATATCATATAAACGGACATGACAATCAACAGAACATGTCATGATTTCATGGTCGGTGATTTGTATAGATGTTATAGTGTCTTTAGCATCTTTTAAGACCTGCACTGGCTCTTGTCTACGGCTTACTATATCCCAGAAAGCTACTGTGTTGTCAACTGAACCTGAAACAGCTAAACTGGACTCCTCATTGAATTTAACACATGTAACAGAGCTTGCATGACCTCTGTACCTTCTAATAGGCTGTCCAGTTGTAACATCCCATAATATCACAGATTTATCACTACTACAAGATACTATATGGCTACTGTCGCACGACCCGGCAGCGTCTAAGACCTCGTTTGCGTGACCACCATAAGTTTTAAGCAGGAGCTCCCTGTGAGGATTCCATAATTTGATTTTTTTATCAGCACCACATGTTAAACAGTACGTGCCATCTACGTTGAAGCGGACGGCGCGAACGACCTGCTGTTTGCATTTGATGGTGGCAATTGTCGACAATTCAGACATTTTTAGTTCCACCAATGTCACTTGGTGGCCTTTAAACGTAGAGCTAATAACAAAAATTTGACAATTTTGAATTTTGAGGTATTTAATAGGTACAACCTTAGAACAAACAAAATACTGCACTATATACGTACGAATATCTATAAACTCCTAAATAACCACAGTAACATTCAGGTTTAAGGTTACTTATTTACCAAATATCATATTTCTGCGGTCGGTAAAATGAACGGACTAAACAAAAACGAATTCTTCTTTTCTTATTTTTAGTTAATGGCGTTGCCCTTGTTGATTTAGCCTCAAGTGTTTCGCTCAGTTTATTTCATACTAGTGGCCGCCAGCGACTTTGTCCGCGTTTTCCATTATTTCTTCGCTCCTAATAGTTGCAGCGTGATGTTATATAGCCTAAAGCCTTCATCGATACATGGTCTATTCAACACAAAAATAATTTTTCAATTCGAAAGTAGTTCCTGAGATTAGTGCGTTCAAACAAACAAACTCATTTTTCAGCTTTATAATATTAGTATAGATTTTAGTATACAAAAAAATATCACTTTACTCCTCCTTCTTGGTCTGTGGTCACAACCAACGCACGCATGACGTAAACGCGTTTTCGTAGTATACCTATACATTATTTTTTCATTATTTTTAATGCAGGAAAACGTGATTATTAAGCGCAAGTATTATTTGTATGGCTTGTTGTTTCAAATATAATAAATACTAGTATTTTTCGAACAAAATAGAATACCATATTTGATGAAACAAGAAGAATAAAATAAAATTTGATATGGCAGTATGAGCTACATCTCTTTACCTCTAATGTATGCATAAGAGAAAACATATGTCAATTAAAGCTAGTGTTGCAATAGGGATACTCTTATTACATATTGCATTACTTTTGATTTGATTCAATAATAAAATGTCCTATCAAATCTCGTGTCGAAATCATGTCATAACCAGAGGTCGGAATTAGGTAGAGTTATTTATGTACTTGCATCGAAATGTTTATATTAATGTGGACCTTCCCGGGATTTCTAATGGACAATTTCTAATTCTTTGGACATCCGATGTCATTGATGTAAGTTTGGCAACGACGTGCGTGCAGTAGTTTAAATTGTGTAAAAGTAAATAATCACGGGATTTTTTTCGGCTCTTTAAAATTAATCTCGGGATTTGAGGCATATCCACTTTATTCTTTCGCTGTATGAAATCAGTGTAAGTACCAGAATAACTCTACCTAATTTCGACCACTGGTCATAACGCATCATAACATAACTTGTACATAAATATCTAAATTACTTAAAGTAAAAACATTTTTTTTTACTTTGCTAGCTTTTTTAGTGCTTTGGTTTTTTTTAAATACTTTCTCATTAGGTACTTATTTATTCTCTTTGATTCTCTGTCAAATATTGTCATATAATAAATATGGATATATTGCGCGTTCTGCTTCTTCTTTTTCGATAACAGAGTTGGAAACCTAAATAAATATTGTGACCCCGAATATAATGCAGACACTAATGGCACTCTAAACACAAATATCGATATCGAAGAACGACGACTCCGATATCGAAAAATGCCAATGTATCGAAACTTAATATCGAAAGAGTAAATGTATATCACTTGTCCAAATTCTAACATACAACGGCTGATTTTAACAAAGGTGACATTATATTTTTAAAGTTTAAACAGTTATCCTCGTCGCGTTCGGGAATTATTATGTGACTCAATCAGGGATATATCGGTTTGGTAAAGTGATATATCAATATCGACTGAAGTCCATATGTATTGAACTCGATTTTTATAAACTGTAGATCCCTCGCTAACTTTCCGCCAGCGGCTTCGCCCGCGTGGTCTTAACAACCTTCATAAAAACCGTCTCTTTGAATCACCCTATCTATGAAAAAAAAACCCATTAAAATCCGTTGCGTTGTTTTAAAGATTTAAGCATACATAGGGACAAATGGACTGACTTTGTTTTCAACTATGTAGTGATTCCTAGGTGTATCGTTAACGTAACGATGCGTCATCTTGTGCGTAACTTTTGAAAACACAATGCTGGCAACACTGATCATTGCTGTCAAAAAGCGTCTATGTGCGTTCTTCGCCGCGCTTTATTTCTACAATTTGTTTTATTTAGAATCTACTTCACATAATAATTAATTATTCTGTTTAAATGAAGTTAACAGTATGGGCGCCAAAACACCCTGCAAGTTAAAACTGCGGCGGCCGACATACAAATGTAACCAGTGCTCGAGAAACTTCCTCAGTACCCAAGCTTTGAAGAGCCACCAGTATTGCGTGCATAAAATTAAAGGAAATGGAAGGCCAGTCAGAGAGAAGTCGAAATTGACAAATTTACCCGAGAAATCTGTTAAAAATACAGATGTAATGTTAAAGAAGGTGCCACAAACTGTAGAAGCTAATGTTGAAAACAGTGTGACTTTAAATAATGAGGATAACAGAAAAATTGAATTTGAGTGTCCTCAATGTTTGAAGATGTTCTCTGTATACTTTTCGGCGTTCAAACATATACAAAGGGTTCATTGCATCAATGAGAAAGGTCAAAGAGTGTGAGTATTAATAATTTCTTGATTTCTTTTAGAAAATTACTGATGTTCTCTAACAGGTAAAGTAATCTTAATAAGAAGTCTTATGGCTTCTATTGACTTATTAAGTAGACCAATTGCCATTTTAGTTATTGCTAGAGAGGTTATGGTTTTTAACTAGTCGACTCTGATGAATATTCCTATTTTGGCTCAGCTTTAGTATCGGTAAATATACAGATATTGTTGACCATTTTTTTATACAATGCTAGAGATTTAATTTTACAAAGTCTTAAGATGCGGAGTTAGTTAGATTTCGAGATACAATTTTTTGAAAATACTTGAAATTGAACTTTTGTTTGATGTTCTATAAACTTTGTACAACATTTTTGTTTTAAACAGTGACTAGACAAAGAGATTCATATGCATACAGCCAAATTTTGAGATGTTTTTAAACAGGCAGGAAAAGATTATTAAATTTGCATTATTGTCGCCATGTAGATCACATAATAGGCTAGAAACTATGCTTTTCTGTGCTTCTGCATCTGGTGGGAAGTGTGTTCCAATGCTTTAGACAATATAGTTTTCAATATTAGATTTCGGGTTGCCAAATGTGGGCTAAATTAGAAAATCGACTGGTTTTTGTAAAATTCATTTGTCCCATTAATAGCCCAAAAAAATAATCCAAAACTTAACTTTTGTTTGGATATTTTATTCCAGTTTTCTATCACAATACTAGTTAAAATTACTAATATATATGAATGATATGAAATATATTATTTTCCAAAAATGTGTAATATATATGTTTGCAGCCATCTTGTTTGTTGTTCCTCCTGTTTCCTCCTTAACCATACATAAGGTAAGCCTGAGCCCCTGCAGTGGGTCTGTAAAAGGGCTGATGATGTTTGCAGCTGCAAATTGTAGCCTTAATGTTGATGGCTCTTGATTTATTTTCATTGTTGTTTAAACAATTTATCAAGTCCATTGTTGGTTGATTTGTGCAGCCATTGCCATCTCTGTTTACAACTTGTACCAATCTCACACTATATAAAGGATTTCAATTACCTCATCATATAACCGTGCATTTATTTATATTATATTTAATCAATCTCTCCATTGATCAATTAACCATCTTTGTATCGCTTCACACATGTAATAGATAAATAGAACTGACCCTAGTATGCATCCCTGTGGTACACGTATTAGTGTAACACTTTTACTCGAAAATTCTCACTCAAAATGTAAACTGTGTCAGTAATCAGTCCTAAAAATGATATTCATGTATCTCCAAACTCGAGTTAACAAATAAAAGTCCAGTTACAGAATCCTTATTGAAAGCTTTTTTATAATCGATTTGTAGGTAGATTAACAGTTTCCCTAACAAATTTATTTTTTGTTTGATTAGATAGAATTCAATGTTCTTGATTAGATTTGATTTGGACTTCCATATTCACGCACTTATTGAGGCATGCATAATTACAATTATACAATTGATTTTCTGGCGAGAAAAAACGAAACTTAATTAGGCACCGAACGAAAGTAAAGGGATATTAATCAGTTTGTCCGCGTGTTCTTGAAAAGTGACATTACAAGCTATAAAAACTGTAAAGCGTTTATGAGAAGAGCTATGAACGTAGAGGAAGCGAAGTGCCTTGTGGCGCTTATCTGAAGATATAGATTAGGACGTATTACTTTCTGTCGCCAATTTGAAGCACTAGCGCATGTAGTAAACAGTTTGTTTTTTATAAAGTCAAACATCATTCAGCTTAGTAAGTTTCATATTATCAATTATTGCCAATTCCAGGGCATCCAGTTCTTCGGACATAATAAAACCAGTAAGAGTGGAGCTATGCACGAAGTGCAATATTCGCGTACGTACCAACGAACGTCACAGATGCTCCGACGCGAACGTCGACTCAAATGTATTGGGAATCAAGGCCATTTGTACTGGATGCAAACAACAGTTCGCCAGTATTCAGTTATTCGACTTGCATGTCACTGGGTTGCATTGTGACAAGATAGAAGGCATGTTCTTCCCAACAAATATCGGTGAGTCATCAAGAATCCACGACGCAAACCTCTAGTACAAAGTTGTAACGCCGAAGATCGCGAAGTCCCATCGTTTTGGTAGCCCTATCCGAATATGGTGCATCATCTTAAAACCACGATTATTCAGTCATAAGCAGAGGTCGGAATTAGGTAGAGTTATTTATGTACTGCATCGAAATGTTGATATTAATGTGGACCTTCCCGGGATTTCTAATGGACAATCTTGGACATCTTTGGACATCCGATGTCATTGATGTAAGTTTAACAACGTCGTGCGTGCAGTAGTTTAAATTGTGTAAAAGTAAATAACTTTTTATTTAAAAAATCACGGGATTTTTTCTCCTTTTAAAATTAATCTCGGGATTTGAGGCATATCGACTTTATTCTTTCGCTGTATGAAATCAGTGTAAGTACATGAATAATTCTACCTAATTACGACCACTGGTCATAAGTTAGACACAAATTGTCCACCTTATTCGATTTAAAATGAAATCAATTTATTTATCATAGTCTTCATTGTGAACGCCTTCATTTGATATTCATATTATAAGACTCCTTAAAGTTACCGACATCTTGGGCTGTCCGTCAAATTAGATTAACTTAGAGCCAGTTGCACTAACGTCCATTAAAATTTTCATTAGTTTAAAGCGAATTTACGCATACAAATTTGACATACATTACAGTCGATAATAATCATATGGTTTTACCAAAATGGTGAAATAAAAATAAAGCCTAAAAATAATTTAAATTATAATGTGTAAGTTCTTTTGCATCGATGTTAACTTTTTTTAACATCGACATCCCAATACGTATACATTTTCGTCCCATCCGCTCTGGTAAATTAAATAGCTTTAACTTTTTTTTAATGAGACGCATATTCCCTTATATCACAAAGGAACTTCAGAAAAGTAACGTCTATTATTATTTAAATTTCTTACTGAATATGTTCTGATTCACATTTTCTTAACAGAATTCCTCCAGTGGAAGAACAACATGGAGAACGAAACCAGTAACAGATACCTGATACTAAATAAATGTTCTGCGAAACAGACGTACCGGTGTTCTTTCTACCTTGCAACAGATAAAAACGAGAAAGATGAGGTGTCCCATTTCTGTCCATCCAGTATTATCGTCCGCGAATTCTCCAAAGGGGTACAAGTGCATTTCTATAAGCAACATTACGGTCATCCGTGTCCAGAATACAACATACCCAAGCAGTTCAGCAAATACACTATCACATCCCTAATGGAAGCAAAAACGAAAGCACAATTAGACGTCGTCGACATGTCCGATGATACAGATCTGTATGTACAATTCAAAACACTGATGGACAACATTGTACTGGACGCGGCAAAAGTTAAAATTAACCATTTAAAAGTTTTAATAGGTAAAGCTTTAGAGATGTCCACTATTTTAAAACAGTATATCGGTGATGAAGATTATGACGAATATCCGAAGACGGCACCACTAAACAAAACCATGACAGACGATCAAATAACGACAGCCCTGGAAACGTTCACTAAAGATATTAAGAAAAGGAAAAGTACTACAGTTGCAGTCACTCCGAACGCTAACCCTACAGTAGCATTAAAGAGGCAAAAGATTACAACTCCTAACACCGATCTCACTGATACGAAAAAAGATGTTATTTCGATAGCAATACCACCAATAAAGACTTACAGTAATAGAAGTAAACAAAAAACACCAATTATACTTAATACTTTCTCATTAGCCGACGAGGTAGTCAATGAGGAAGACTCAAAAGAACTACTTAAAGAAATTGACCTTCCCAAAATTAACCCTAAAATTTCATCACCGGCTTCTTTATCTTTATCTTCGTTCAACGATTCTTACAGAGAATTCGTTGATAAGAACTTCACAGCTAAAGCGGATTCAAAATCCAACAGTAAAAAAGAAGCTCAAACGAATGCAAATCAAAATACAAAAGAGAAAATTAAAGTGTTAAGTAAAAACGATATCAATGAAAGAGTTGAACTTAGGCTTCCCGTAGATATTAATAAAAATAATAATGTCAATATTAAAAGTATACAAAAAATCGAAAAGAACAATAGTATCACTAATAATGATACTATTAATAAAACTAAGGAACTAAATAATAGTCGTCCTATTAATAAAACTAGGGAGCTAAATAATAGTCGTACCATTAATAAAACTAAGGAACCTAATAATAGAAGTTCTATTGATAAACAGAAAGCTAACAATATTAAAAAATATCCAACAGTTAAGAAAGGTAGAGTTGATAAAAAGAAAGTTATGAAAACAAAGATAGGTCAGTTCAAGCCGAGCTTATCACCCAAAAAAACTGAATCTACTAAAGGTAATAGAGATTTAAACAAAAGAAATAGTAAGTCGAAACTCGAATTCGATTACGAAGTGAAAGAACAGGAGAATGATTGTAACATATTAATTTTAAAGATATGAAACTATTTTTAAACTATGGAATCACGAAAATATTTTAATATGACATTAGGTTAATACTTATGTCTCATGAAATAATTGTATCCAGTTTATGGGTTGCATTAGCGTTTTGCATGCCTAAGCATCCAGAAAAAAGGGAGGAGTATGTTTACGATGGGCCAAATATTAATTTGGCAGGTAGTTTTAAAATTACAATGAAATTCCAGGAAATGTCAACGAAAGAGGCTGTAAAAAAGATCGTTATATTGGAAATTGAGTGAAAACTCTTGCAATATATCATTAACAAGTACATTCGGTTGTTGGGAAAATAATATTGACCTGATAAGTCTGTTGAGATTGTCTATAAAAATCGTGGTCTAGACTTACTTAGAATGTTATATAATCTAAGTAAAGATATGATTGCATCTCTAGTGTAGGCTGTAAAAATAATTCAACTGTCTGTAGAATATATAAGTTGTATATTGTTAAAATATCATTTTAGATATATCGAGATTTTTTTATAAGCGTGTGGTGTATTTGTAAGTGTCTTTGGATTTTTCACGATCGACAACTTGGCAAATTTTTACAATTGGCGATAATATAATCTGGGGCGCTATGTCTAATTAAAAAAAAAATATCGCAATCCATTTCAATTCGAATTCAAACTATTTGACATGATCGTGACGTATTTTTGTATTGAATGAACGACATCTTTTACGTAAATTGGAATCGTGTAAAGCAAGCGTTAGTCACGTATATCTTTGAAAGCCATTTTAAATATCAAAATAAATTCTATATGCAATATTTCATCCGGTCTATCTAGTTTTATTGATTATTCTAATCATTCATTCCAAATCCGATTGAGACTTTAAAAGTTAAATGATTCCATAAATCGCTATTATAATAGCCATGCGTTTGAAACAGATTGCGGTAGATTTTGAAATTAGACTATAATCCCACTACTCATGATACATTATGGGACGCGTAATTATCGTTCTCTATCGGAATGTCAAAACTGACATAATATAAAATGTAAGAAAAAAAAATACAAATGACATTCATCCTAACTCGTTCGAAGGAATAACTGTCGTGTTATAACGCTTACTTGCGAAATTTGCACCTATCTTTAGAGTAATAGCCATTTTCTTTCCAGTCGGTTCTTTCAGTTAGTTCTTTCAATTTCTAGATTTCTAGACTTGAATAAGTGTAAACAGCAAGTCGAGTAATACAAATTTATCATGTTACCTAATTTTTAAGCATTAGCATATGGATCTGTTGCGGAGCATGAAGAATTTCGTACAATGACCAGGCGCTTTCTCTTTCACTCGTTCGGAAAAATATCGCTATTGCTCTCGCACAGATACATCTAGCCAATATTGGCATAGTAGAGTGAACCTAAATGTTTACGTTATATATTAGGCAGGGACAATGGTCAACGTACGTTATTATTCCTACTCGGCGATCATGCTATAGACATAATTCATGGGTATCCAAATTCATGGTCTGTTAAAAGCTTTCATGCTTCCTTTGAGCTACTAGAGAGAGATTTGAAAATTTTCTTCACTTCCTTACCCTTAAAAAATTTTGTAATTGATGACAAGGCTGAATAAAACGATGCGCAATCAATTTGCAACAAAAACTTTAGTGACCCCTTTTTTTTAAGTGTATTAGTCATAGATAAAATTATTGCCTTACAAAATATTGCAGTCGATGAAATCTTTTGTTCAAAATTCAAATAGTTTGTAAGTATTAGGAATAAATTTAAATTTGTAAAACCAATTGACAAATTAAGTTTTTTTTTTTAGTTTAATGCAAGGTTTATCCCATCCCCTGAATACTACCTAGTAGCATTATAATTACTGTCATCGTGTAAGTATTAGATACCATTAAATTCATTATGTTTATTAATGTTTCTTTTATTAAATAAATAAATATTTTGTATTTGTAATTCTTATCGTGTTTTTTTTTATTTGAATATTTATTGCAACTTTCTGCCGCCAGGAAGCAACACTAGCACAAACAGTAAACAGTGCCCAATGTGACCTATCCCTTTCAATGGTTTAGCGATTTATGGAATTTAGTAACTCGTAAAGTCTCAATCGCTTTTAATAACTTTTAAGTCACTCAATTTGAGTGATAAAGAAAAATTAAAAAATAAACCCGTCGAAACATTCATTAAGCTAATTTTAATAAAGTATTTTAAGAATTAAAGAAAGCACTTAGAAGCACCTCTACTAGATGGCGACTCTAGCAAAAGTTGATTTTTGCAGGAAACGAATGGACCAAAGATAGTCTTTTCCGTTCCTTTTAACTAACATTTAATATGTTAGAAACTTAGATATCAATACAAATACGAAAAAGTACAAATAGAATATGAGTTGTTTATTGAGTTTTGAGAACTAATTTACTTTTATACACGAAAGAAAACCGGAAGGGTTGTCATGGAGAAATCGAAAAAGTACCGTAGCGACATCTAGTTTGATTTCGAGATTTTCTTTTAATAATTATTCATTAAAAATCCTACCTTTATATCATTAAAAAAACCGGGCAAGCACAAGTCGAACTCGAACATTAAAAAAAAAACGCAAAATATCACGTTTGTTGTTTTCAAAGGAGTTGTTCGAAATTTGCGAACAACTTTTGAAAACAACGAAAAACAGTCATCCCACGAACGGTCAAATATTTTTGAATAACCTATCCAACGACTAAAATAAAAAATACTTCTATCTTCAGCTTTACACGTAGCTGACGCTAAATGTAGTAATATTTTTATGTACTTCACTAACATAACATCAGCATTTTATTTAATCCTGTGTAAACAGCTTGAATAATTCAATAATGGATTTGGAAAAATATGACATGGAATATAATTACAATAACAAATTGAATTGTAAACAATGGTTTCTATGGTAAAGGTTTAGTGCCCTATAAGAACTTCTAATCCCAATTTCATCCCTTTATGTGCTTTATCGGGATAAGCTATAAGACAGGAATAATGTTGTCACGGAGTTTTTTAGAACTTTTATAGGGAATTAAATTTGTAATACATGATTTTTGCGCAACTTTCACCGTTTACACGCAAGAATAACTTTAAAAATATGAAATATTCTTAGTTGTTACAACATTTTTCATTGCTGCTCCACTCCTTTAAATCATAGTGTGATGTTATTTAGGCTATAGCACTCCTCGATAAAGGGACTGTTGAATAATACACACGCACACAAAAAATATTCAATTTGTTCCAGTAGTTCCTGAGATTATAGAGTTCAAACAAAAAAACTCTTCAGCTTTATTATTAATAAATATATATAAGTAGAACCTGAGCACAACTTCATATTTAAATTTATCATTATAAGTACCAAAAGTTATGTTCATGTGTAGCAAAACGTAATTTGCTACACCGATCGTCCTGCCTACGTAAATTCCAACGCTACCGTGGTCCCTAGCTGGAATCGGCCATGCGCCGACGAACGGTTTGGCTCGAAGAATTCAACGCTCGAATAGTGAGTTTGCCGGCGAGCCCCCTACTGCGCGCGGCGTAATAAGTAATTTCCCGCGCTCCCCTTGCTCGCGACAGCTCGCGAGGTCCGCCGTTAAAACGTGTTTGTTTAGTTTTATAATTAATAAGGTTAGGGTTACGTTTAGTCTTATTACTTTCTTGTTTGTATGTTGTGTTTTTGTTATCGCCACACAGTACATACTTTTATCGGACCTTATGTTGTTTTATTGGTTTGAAAACACCATATAGAGATGTTTTCCGGCCTAAACATCCTGAATACATTGATCTTAGAATATCATAGTTTAGTCAAAATACTATATATATTTTTTAAGTATTTATATCTGATTTAATATTAAATGAGAAAGTATAAAAAAGATAGTTCCCGAAATGAAACTAGATGTCGCTTGCTGTTTTTTGATCTCTCCACAACAACATTATCGGTTTTCTTTAATGTATAAAAATAAATCAATTTTAAAAACTCGATTAACAACTCATATTGTATTTGTTCTTTATCTTATTTGTATTGATATTTTACTTTCAAACTTTGTAAATTTCACTTTTGTAATATGTTAAAAGGAATGGGAATTACATCTTTGGTCCGTTCGTTTCCTGCAAAAATTAACTTGGTAGAGTTGCTATCTAGTGAGTGCATTGAAAAAAAAAACTGAAATATCAATGTGAAATATTTACGACATTTTGTTTTTCTCTATGGTATGGTTTAACCTCTTGCTAAAAAATTACGTTCCTGTACGAACAAATTTCAAAATGCAACGGGTTTTTTGACATTTCTCTGTTTCGTTTGTTTATTTTATGTCCTTTCGTGTTATCATATTCAACATAAATCAAATTGTTTTCTTTGAACAGTAACGTAATATAAGTTCTGGCTATGATATTTCACTGAGAAAACATTACAGAAAATTAGAGACTGTCATGCAAAATTGACGACTTTTTAAAGAAGATACCTAGTTTTCTATTTTAGTGACAATTCTGCAATTTCAGTAAGATGGAAAGTATTCACAAGGAAATACTTTCTAAATCAAGTAAGTAATACCATATTATTATCATTGTAAATAATGATAAACTTACACAGTCATTAGTTCAAATATTCAGAAAACTTCACTGATTTTTAGCTGTAGAATTTTCCGAAATAATTAATATTGTAATAAAATACTTTTTTTTATACCTAATACCCCACCATTTGTAGTAGAAGTATAATGAGCATATTAAATTTTATTTACAAAGATGTAGTAAGATTTTCAAGGTGTTATACTGATATCTTTCTATGTGAATGCAGAAATGGCGGAGCTCCAGGCTATCATGACAAAGATGCCTCTGGAAGTGTGTTGCGTCGCAGCACTGCCTGAATTTGGGGTACAGTACTTATTTCTTCTACTATGTATTTTTGTACGACCTGAGTGGTTTACATGTCCGTTTCGAGGTATTGCCATCTTCGAGGTCTTGCTGTTGATTCCAGATCCAGTTAATTTAGAAAATCAACTTATCTTAAGGTCTGGGTGCCTTTATTTTAGATAAATCACAATAGGCTTTACTTTTACTTATTTAATAATTTGTGCTATTTGTTTAATACTGTCTACTATAGTAGCAAAAGATTTATTACTAGACGCCAATTTTCATAACCAAATATTAGTCTGTTGTGTCACTCAAAATATTTGTGATTAGTAATTCACACTATTAAAGCTAAAAATGCTTATAAATAATTATTATAAAAATTTCAATTTGTATGTTTGTATTGATAAATCTTTGGAAATACTCATGAATTTAAAAAATCTTTCACCAGAGTCTATAATTCACGCTCGATACTTACGAAGTCATAGTTTTATTGACGAAGTCATAGTGAAATATGGAACAAAGATGTTGAGTATTGATTTGTGATTTTAGCTGAGATGGCGGGAAGTGGCCCGTGCTATTCGCAATGCTCGTCTACCAATGACGTCGGCGAGCGTAGCCCGCGTGATATGCCGTCAGGCGGCCAAATCACTACCATCCGACGACATCGAAGATATACTAGCCAAACTGAGATTGAAGTGTTAGTATACTCATGTGATTTTACAGTCATCATCATCATCAGTCATTTGACGTTCCCACTGCAGGGGCTCGGATCTCCTTATTTATGTTTAAGGAGGAGAGTTAGAGCCATGACCCTCCACCCTCGCCCAATGTGTAGGGTATTAACAATTGGCACTGCAACCAGGACCAACAGTTTAATGTTCCTTCTAAAGCACAGAGTAGCTTGTGATATTAATTTTACTGTAGCTTAACAACAACGATCGCGGACCGCGGCGCTTACCCACTACGCCACCGAGCTAAAAATACGATTTTACAGTAAACCTACAGTATAAAATATAAAGAATGAAACCTGGAAAAAAAATTTACAGCCAGTTGCACAAATGAACTTTACAATTGTCATTAGTTTAAAGCGACATTACCCATACAAATTCGACATTCATTAGAGCTTAAAGGGATCATAAAACCTTTATGGTTGTTTGTGCAACTGACCATTAGTCCATCAAACTTAAAGAGTGGATGCTTGCTATGTAACACATTTAATTTATTTCAATTTATAGTTGTAATTAAAAATTACTGTCATCTTCCTCATTATTTTAGACAGTACATTAAAGAGTGTTTAGTTTATGGTCAAATACTTCCAACGTTTAATTCGTTTTGTGTTGTTGAGTGTATTTCCACTGTTTAAAGGTAGATAAGTTCCACTGTCTAAAGCTATTTGCTATTTACAAGAGGGCAAGATTATTTTATACATAAAAGTCTTTTGAAGTTTTCTAGTATTATATTAAATCAAATCAATACAGTTTAGATCAGTTTCTTAATTTTCAGTATTTAAAAATTAAATTTTGCTATGTCTGCTTCTAAATTGATACTAAGTGGAAATCAGACGTTCTGTATCACAAGCTCTTTTACGTCCCCACTGCAGGGGCTCAGTCTTTCCTTATGGATGGTTAAGTAGGATGGGCCATGACCCTCCACGCTGGCCCAATGCGGATCGGAGGGTATTAACGACTGCAAATGCAGCCGGGACCGACGGCTTAACGTGCCTTCCGAAGCACGGAGTAGCTCGAGATAATAATTTTTCGGTCACCCATCCCGTGACAGACCCTTGCGAAAGTTGCTTAACGACTACGATCGCGGGCCGCGGCGCTTATCCATTACGCCACAGAGCTACTCTGACGTTCTGTACTCGACGTTCTGTATACCAGTGGCCTATCTAAATTTAAAAATCTATCGTATTACTTTTCTACAGTATAGCGATTTTTGGGTTAGTTAAATGCACTTTGGGAACAAATGATGATTTTTAATGATTAAGAGACACTAAAAATCTATTAACTTGCAGTGTTATTAATAAATTATATTTAGCATTGGTGTAAATTAACGCTGAGACTGCACTTAGTATTAGTCAAAATTCATATTATTAAACAGAGACTTGGCAAAGGTTAACCTAGCACGAGGTACTGCGGGAGTAATATGTACTCTTAGTAGGTTTGCTTATTCTCTGTATAATATGAATTTGGACTAATACTAAATAAGCAATTTTAGCGTAAATTTACTCTGACGCTTAACCTTGTTTATTGAGTACATCTAAAGCTTGCTTTATACAATTTCGAAATTGAAAAAATATCGCGATCGCAATCCCTATATCACATGTTAAATAGTTGTAGCCTGAATATCTATCAAATGGGAAATTGAAACGGACATTTACGCCTCTGATGTGCTACAGTGTGTGATAAAAATTTTTCACGTTTGTTTCAGTGATCGCAACTCAGAATCGCACTTGGCATGTAATCAGACTATCTAATAAAGTGACGGAGGATTCAGTTTCGTCACTGACCCAATATTTGCCCGCTAGAATACGGCAGGCTCTTAAAAATAAACGCAAAACTGGTAGAGTAGAGGTAAGTCACCATCATCAGCCCGTTTACGTCCCCACTGCAGGTGATAAGACTTTCCGTCAGACCTGCGGATGGTTAAGGAGGATGGGCCATGACTCTTCACGCGGGCCCAATGAGGATTGGGGGGCAATAACTGCAAATCTAGCCATGACCAACGGCTTAAAGTGCCATCCGAAGTACGGAGTAGCTCCAAGTTATAATATTTCAGTCACCCATCCCGTGGCCAACCCTTGCGAAAGTTGCTTAAAAACTACGATTGCGGGCCGCGACGCTTATCCACTTCTCCACTGATTTATTACTCTTCCTTATTGATGGAATTAAAAAATTAGCCATGACACGCCATTCGAGCCAAGTGTGGATTGGTGGGTCCTAACGACATATGCAAACGAGACAAACAAAACGTGGGGGAGCTCAAGATAGCAAAGTTTTTGAACACCCATCATATGGCAGGCCATTGCAAAAATTGCTTAACCTTCAACTGAATGTACATGAGGAATGAAAAGGTTCATCAAATTTCAAACATATTCATTTGAAGTCGAGAGCACTTAAAACCTTATGAAACTAGCACCCATTTTCACTAACCTAGAACAAGGCATAGCTTAGCTAGGAAACGCCTAATATTACGAATCGCCTAAGCAGATTTGTTTAATTCCAAATAAATATTTTTTCTTTTATCCCTTGGCGTATTCATGACCTGTAAAATACGCAAATGCCTAGCGTAAGGCGTCTTATCACCTTAGGCGATTCCTAAATATTTAGGCGACAGATTTGGGCGACTCCTAAGTTTAGTGAAAACAGGCATCAGTCACAAAAATAATGCTGCATAGAGAACTATGCTCAACTCCATCACGAAAAGATTTAATTTCTTTAAATTTCTGTCACTGGTTTTTACAAGTAAAATGTACCATTTTAATATATTTGTTTTTTTAGTTTAAGCATAATTTTATAATAATGACAAATAAATATTTCTTTAACGTAGGAGTTGCTACAGAACTGTCATTAAATCTGTTACATAACGTTGACATTAAATAATATTGTCATTGGTATTACGCGGCAAATCATTTTGGAATCTGAGCAATGTATGTTGTCTAATATTTTTTTTTATTTAACTTTAGGTACAGACCACAATGCTCGGAGATCTGATATACTTAAGCATCCAGTTAGTGTCTGAGCATAGAGAAGGCAGCGTATTATACGTAGCCACGCCCCCCGGACATGACGTGGCACTAGTCAGCTCTTTGTCTATGGCCACATTTATAAAGGCTGCTGTGCAAGGTATTCTTATATTTGATAAATTTAATTGAATGAATGTTATCATTATCGTGTGCCCTTTCAGGTCCCCGTAAAAAGACTCAGGCCTTCCTTATGGATGGTTAAGGTGGATGGGCCATGACCCTCCACCCTGGCCCAATGCAGATTAAAGGGTATTAAAGACTGCAAATGTAGCCGGCACTTACAGCTTAACGTGCCCTCTGAAGCACAGAGGAGTGAGACATAATAGATTTTCGGTCACCCATCCTATAACAGGTCATTGCGAAAGCTGCTTAACAATCGTATCGCAGATCAAGCGCAATCGCTCCTCATATGTTATATATTAGTTTTATATTTTCCAGGTCTCGGGTATAAAGAATTTGTGGATGCTAAGTTATATGGTTCTGATGTCAATTCCCTGTTACGTATAAACGATAGAGCTTGCAATGAAAACGTGGAACATCTCCATGAGCTGCCAACTTATGAGCCAACGCCAGTGATAACTAAACAAGGCATAGACTACACGAACAGAGCTTACGATGAGAAATACATAGACAATATCCTAGGACCATCACCGCCATTGCTGACTGATTTGAAGATAACCTCCCATAAAACATTTTTTGATCCTTCGAAACTGAATAAGCAGATCAATTTGAGATTTCATTTGAAGAGTGATGATGTTGCGAAGTCATTGAAGTCTTGGGTGGTGAAAGGTGCTTTGGCACCAACTTCGGATTTCTTTCATATATTTAATAAGATTAAATCTAATAATATCACTTATACTCGTGAGGATAGCGATTAAATAAGTTGATTTTCTTTGGGCGTTTTGTTTATATCAGTGATTCCCTAAGTGATCCAGATGAACCCCCAGGGGTCCACGAGGGATTCAACGGGGGATTATATCATAATCAGCCCCAGGACAGACTCCCCTATATAGGCATGTGCCTAGGGCGCTCGTATTTGGGCCAGTATGGCATCTATCGCAATCCCTTTCATAGCTAAAGCGATTTATACAGGCCCCGGGCTTAGGTGACTGGCGCCCTGGGCAAATGGTCTACTGGCGCCCCTTTTATTATTACTATAATGTAAAAGCAAATAATCTATGTTACTTATATTTTATGAAGGAAATAACAAGAAAACACGTCTTTCATACACAAAACTGTAGACATTTATTTCAACATAATTCACACTTTCAGCAAAGTTACAACTTAAAATTATATTTCTAAGCCAATTTGTTTCTCTCATTTATTTTTATTATCTCTTATTTTGTGCCCCCATAAATTTGGCGCCCTGGGCAAATGCCCAGTCTGCCCATTTATAGCCCGGGGCCTGTATTTATAGAATAAGCTGATGTTGGAATTACTAAAGAAATTAATTTTGAAAAGTAATGTCTCTTTATAAGTATAATGTTTCACTTCCTATGACAGTTTAATGAACCCACAGGCTACGTATCGAACCTGTAATAAGTTAAAGCGTAGAATTCGTGATGTTAAATTGATTGCTATAGATATTATAATTAATCAATTAGAACCTTACTGACTGACATTAGACGAAATACATTTGTCATGTATAAGTCCGGTGACGACATGTTGTGTATTAGCACGGTCACCGTACAAAAAGAATTCCGTACAATGACCCGGAACTACATATCTTTCTCACTCTTATACAAACATATCACTATTGCGCTTGCACAGATGCATCTAGCCAATTTGGTCAAAGTAAAGTGAACCCAAAACAAATGAAACAACTTTTAAACGGTTGCATCGCTTTTGTATTTCGTTTTATAGACGTTCCGGACTTCACAGGTTCAGTGTTCATATAAGACTAAGGAGTTGTCTTTTTAATTAAAAGTATAGCTACCTTCAAAAACCTATACTATTGCGCCACATTCACAATACAAAAAAAAACCCATTTATTAAATAATTTTATTTTAAAAATACATTTGACTTATTTATTCCCCCTGGCTACCGTAATCTACCACCAGTTTCAAAGGACATTGCTCAACGTCCATAAATTGGTGGCCCCAGAGCCAAAAAAAAATAGGAAAATACTTATTTTATTGTGTGTCACTAACTTATTCTCATTATGTATTTATTATACCGCGATCGAGTTTTAGAACTTATTATCACGCAAAATATAATTCATTTTGAGGTTATAATTTGTTTGGAAAACCACCAAGAGATGGCACTCTAAGAACATGATATGATATTGATGTCTATGTATATTGACGAAGCAAAAAACTCAACTTTAAGAAAGTCGGTTTTTCGTTGTGATTTGTAAAAATTTCTAAGTCAATCAATAGACAAATAAAGCATTCTAATAGTTAAATAATATACCTATTGATAAGCTTAAAATTAAAAAACCTATAGCTTTTTGATGGTTTACATCAAAAGATGGCGCCTTAAATACATAAATGACATGATGTTAATATGTTTACGAGAAATATAAAGGTAATGTAATAGAAACAAAGTAGTTTTTAGGATATGTCGCATGAATATCAATCTTTCTGAATAAACAAGAGTGAATTATCAACAGTTAATGAATTTAGTTTGTATAATATTCAGTTTTTATGTCCTTATGTTTTAGTTGGAAAATCACCAAGAGATGGCGCTTTTAGTAAATTTAAGTTTATTTTCGGTCAATTTAATTTAATGTTTTTGTGTTCGATGATTTAAAGGTTATCTAATAAAAATAAATGATCTTCTTGATCTGACGTGTAAATTACATCCATCTGACTCAATAGAATTTAAGTATATTGAATGTGAATATTTGCGAATAAAAATGTTACTGTTAAAGTACTTTTAAATATTAATTTTGGATCGCAGCTTGTCCGTGTCAAATAAATATTTGATTCCAATTTAATAAATAAATTAGTAATTATTATTGAAGTATTAATATTTAATGGTATTGGGGCCATTTTCGGCGATGTCCTTTGTGAGTCTTGTCTGAGGAGAACTGTTGAAACAAACTCTGTAAAGAAAAAAGTGAATTGCTCCTTTTCATTCAATATTTACAGAATGAACTAACTGTATCTTTTGGTTTTGCGTTGTGTGATCTGGCTTGAGATTTTATTTGACCAATTACTGGATCCCAAGCTAGTGGTGTATGCCAACCTTCAGCTCTATTAAAATTCATATATGGATATGGCGCGTGAAAATATAGGAAATTAATATGAACCCAAAATGTTTACGATATCTAACTATAAGCACAAAGGTCAACGTACGAGATTCTCTTTGTTCCGAGACCGTGCTATAGTGTGATATACATATTGTGTGATGTTCAGAGGTCGGAATGAGGTAGAGTTATTTATGTACTTGCATCAAAATGTTGATATTAATGTGGAACTTCCCGGGATTTCTTTATTTCTTCTTTCTTTCTTTCATTGATGTAAGTTGGCGACGTCGTGCGTGCAGTAGCTTAAATTGTGTAAAAGTAAATAACTTTTTATTTAAAAAATCACAGGATTTTTTCTGCTCTTTAAAATTAATCTCGCGATTTGAGGCATATCCACTTTGTTCTTTCGCTGTATGAAATCAGTGTAAGTACATAAATAACTCTACCTAATTCCGACCACTGGTGATGTTACATTAAAACAAGTTTCATAAAACACATATTTTTATTAATTTTTCAATCACAAATAAAATGGTTTTAGAACCGTTGTACATTGACTTAACAATTTCTTATAGGGCTTGGCCGAATTTCATTTTAACTCTATAAATGAATCTCTTCGATACAGAATTATACAATATAAATTAAACAGATAATGTTGCCATAATATCGCCAAGATATCGTATCATATGGTTAGAGAGACAGTCGCGTCCCTACTTAGAATATAGTTTCAGATATTTCAAAAATATTTTTAAATAATCTCTATGTATAATAGCCAACAACGTGCCATTGACGGAATTGTGTAAACGTAAACAAGCCATAAATAAAAATGACTATTGTAAATTCTATATTGAAGAGACAAGATACTTAATCTAACTTATAGCTAATAAAATATTTAAAACGGCAAGTTGAATTAGCCTAAGTTTTAAAAGTACCTAACTACAGCTTCCAAAATGACTTGCGTGTAGGATTGCCAACATTTGTGAAAAACTAGGATAAAAAGCATGTGAATAAAAAAAATCTTAGTGGTAAACTGATTGCTATTTCCTCGTACCGATTATCGTATTGCCGTCTTGTTTACTTTTTACTAGGATTTCTCCTCACGCGCTCTACATATTAGATACGTAGACCAAAATTGGAATGGTGAAGAGACACATAAAAAATATAATACCTACACTGAACAGTTACTCCTAACTACAGATAACTACCAACGGATACAGCATGAACGACAGTAAGCTGTAGCCAAGCATCTATGATTCTGCACAGATCGTTTTAACAAAAGTTGTCAAAAGTAACCCCCTTTTAACTTCATATATTATGACCTCTGTAGCCAAGTGGTTCGCCCGCGAGCTTTTAAGATGTCGCCATCTTCGAGGTCCCGGGTTTGATTCCTGGTCGGTCAATTTAGAAAATGGACTTTTTCTACATTGTCTCGGGTCTAGGTGTTGTGGTACCTCAGTTGACTCGGATACTCCATAATACAGGGTGACTCCATAACACATACATCTGAGCAATGATGTTTTCTATTATTTATTTTTTTATATGAGCGCGGTGGCACAATACTCTTTTTATGTATGTTTTGTGTCTCAGTCTATTTTATCATAGTTAGAAAGTGTAGCAGATAAACTAGTGCTACAAAAAATGAAAAAATGGTTATTTTTGGAGAACTTTGATAATTTTCTCTATTGGGGTTATAAATTCACATTTTGGCTGGGATCTAATAACTTAAATAAACGTATTTCTTTGTGCAAAATCGGGTTTTGAAAGTTGTTCTTACCAACTGATTGAAAGTTAGTGATGGAGTGAAACGCGCTCACTGAAACCTTACCGTTGGATGCCTTGTCCATCAATTAGTTTACAGTGCTATAAATTGTGAATTAAATATATTTAAATAATTTATAATATTACAATAATTTATAATTTATAAATTATTGTAATATATTTTTAATGATATCCAATAGCAACATTTAATATCGATCAATTATCAACATGCTTTTAACATATGTGTCCCATCACTACGGAATATGTGTCCTTCTACTAGCCAATAGCGTAGCCGCAATTACCTTGCTCATCCACTCCACCGCTAGGATTGGCATCTTTATTTTTTTTAATAGTCTTCAAGCGGTATCTATTAAAGGTTATCTGTGCTCCTAACAGACGAACTGCAGTCGATTATATACCTAAATGCGTTCAAATTAGAAGTCTATAATCGCGTTCATATTTATTTTCGTAGTAAGAACATATTGTAGGTAGTGGTAGCAAATTATAAAACCATTAAAATTAATATCAACGTAATAAGAATAAAAGAACAAATATAGTTCTAACTAAGGAACAGTTGACTTCAAGTTACAACAAAACAAGGCGAGTTTTTTCAACCGATTATGAACATTAATTATTTATAGTAAAGTTTCAAATTCCATTGTTGAAATTTGAACTCTAACTGAGATTGTGCCACGCCACCGAAACCAAGTATTTATATGTTGAATTAAAATGCGCTGAAAACATAAGTTGGGCCAAAATGACGATTTATCATCATAATACAATACTGTATACAGTACATCAAGACAAGCTATGGAAATCTATCAGATATTAGTTTTCATTTAATACATACCTCAAAACGTAAACGGTAGAGTCGAAAATCGGTTGCAAAAAAATACATTCAATGGTGAGCCTAATATAGTTGGCAAACCTATTAACACATGCGAGTG